TTCTGGTATATGCTACTCATATCAAAGTTTTATTGAACTCCTCATTTACTAAAATAATATTTATCCGATTCTAAGTATAAAATTTATTTTTTAATATAAATTATATAATATAATGGGTTTTGTAATTAGAACGGAGGAATATAAACTATTCTTATGATTCTAAATATAAAATCTTTATATATATATAAAATTTTTATACTAGTATATATAAAAATTTTATATTTAAAATGAAAGAGCCATGCATTAAAATGTAAGAAGAAAATAAATGCGTAAAGTACATTTGCAAACCTCTTTGCGATACACGAGGCTCAAAGATAATGAACGTTAAATACCAGCTACAGCTTCTAAGGCGTCGGGCTGGTCAGCTCATTGGTGTCTTTCTCTCTCTAATAAGGACAAATTAAAGATGAATCCAAGGCAAGCGAATTGCGCGCGGGTCTGTTTGTTGTCATAATTAAAATTACTTATAAATATATGTTATATAAGTTAAAATAAAATTTCTCTTATATATATATATTTACTCCCTATTCGGTAAATCACATACTTACTTCGTATCAAATTTGAGCCGCTTCGAGCGTGTTTGGATCTCTAATGAGGACTCCAACCATGCCTTGAAAGACGGGGACCGTGGAATTTTTGGACAATAAGCTAATGTGTTTGTTTGGCATGGTTTGTTTTTAGCCTGATTGCGCCTTGCATCTCAAGCTATATTTTGGTGCGTTGGGAAAAGAAGTTCTACTTTGCATTATTTATTTAAGAAGTTAAGATTTATTTTAAAATATTTTTTAAAGTATATTTAATATCTTAAAATATTTAGTACTATATCTAATATTCTAAAATATCTTTTTAGAAACATCTAACACTCTAAAATATTTTTTTAGTGTAATTTTACTTTTAGCAATTTAAGATGTTAGATGCACTAAAATAATTTAGGATATTAAATGTATCTAAAAAATTACTTTAGAGAATTGGATGTACTAAAATATAATTTACAATGCTAGATGTAGCTTAAAAAAATATTTTAGAATGATGGGTGTACTACTAAATACTTTAAGTTACATTAAATATATCTAATTGACTGTTTTTCTAGTATTTATAATTTTTTTTCTTATAAAACTATTTTTATTTTTATACTTTTAATTTTAATATTTCTCATAAATTTATCAAATTATATAAATTATTTATATGTATAATAAAGTTTGTATCTTTTTAGTCATTTTAAATTTAAACTTACTTTTTTTTTTAGTTATCCAAACAATTTTCAATTTGTCAAACTGATCCAAACATAAATAATATCACACTAACTGATTTTTATCTTAACTTGTATTTGCAAAAGTTAAATGAAATAGCAGATGGCCTGACTGACCTTTGCTAGGGTCTTGTTTTGTTTTGTTTTATTTGGTTTTTATCTATAGCTTTCCCTTGTATCGAAAAAAAAAAAATGAAATAAAAGTGACTTTTCTCATTATTATTTCAAACACACCCTTCAACTTTGCAACGTAACCACCCCTAAAAATTTGGTTGGTTTTATTCGTATGGTGGATGATTTGTGAAATTAATGACAGTTCTTAAGCTAAAACGCGTGATCTATAAAAAAAAGTGGGAAAAGACGCATGTATATCGTCTTTGAAATGACCCTGCAAGTTAATAGGAAAATAAACCAGGATTAAAAGATAAATGAATTCAGACTTTTTGGCAAAACCTGTAAAATTGCGAAAGGAGGGAGAACTTTCACGATGGAGGTGGCCCGAATCGACCCTTTTTTGACAAGAAAGAAAACTGTAAATAATACTCTACCTCACAAAAGAAAATAAACAAATAAAAATCATCTAAAGAAACCAAGCAAAATCAAGAGAGTATATCAGTTTCATAGTTTTCCCCCCTCTTTCAACATGAAGATCAACAAGTCAATCATATTAAAACGTAACATTGCATGACTTTTTAGAATTAAATTCTAATTATTTCGTCTATGATAAGCGTGCTTTTATCAAAGATTTGAGATCTTGTAGGGAGAAAATAACAATAGCTAAAGATACCTTAATTTAACTCAACTTTTGGAAAAGAAATTTCACTGAATTTTCCAGCTAGATAAATAAATTTCAGTCTCCTTCAAATTATAACAATGTTAATTGTTTGTCAATGTTCCAATCAATGATGAGGTGAGATTGAGAGGCCTGTAATCTTTCGACAATCCAAAAATACTCATTATTTTGGATTACGAATTGACCAAGGTCTTTCGGTGTCATCTTCTCATTCTTTCACATTAAAATATACAAACCTACTAAATCATGTCAGGTGTAAATAATTTTTCTAACTTTTTTTTAATGAAAAGCCTCCTTAATTTTTAAAAGTTTACAATAAACCTCTCTCAACTTTTACATTTATGCACAAAACTTTCATACTATTATTTTTTAATTATTTATTTATAGAAGACTTCATGTTTAATTAAAGAGTTCTATGCATGTAAGTTTTAGGGTCTGTTTGGTTTGAGGGGAGGATAGGAGGAGAGGGGAGGTGAGGTAGGGAAGGGGAGGGGAGGTTTTATCTTCACCTTGTTTGGTTTGATTGAGAAGGAAGGGAGGAAAGGATATTTAATGATATCTTGTTTGGTTCATAAAAGGGAGGGGAGGGATAGTAATAAACAATTTACTATTTTACCCTTACATATTAGTTTATATTTTTTATTGATATATTATATAAATTAATTTACATCTTAATTTAAATTATATAACTTAATGAAAATTCAGTCTTATCATGTTAATATGTGCATTAAAAAACTGGTACAGTAATTTTTTATTCTAATTAATATAATAATATATTTGAAATAATTAAATTAACAAATTTTATATGCTCTAAGAAAAATGAAATTTTATTCTCTTTAAGCTATCCTTTTTTTCAGCTTTAAAATATATTTAATAAATAATATATTTATAAAAAAATTAATTTTATAATAATATTATTTTTTATTTTTTACTTAGGATAATATATTTTTTATTTAAAATAAATATTATAATAATATATTTTATGGGTAGTAATGGAATATTAAAAAAACCATAAGGGCATGATGGTCTAAAATTTTAGGTCCCCTCCAAAAACCTTCAATTTGAGGGGAAGTTAAAATGGGGGAGGGGAGGGGACATTTTGGCTTCCCTCCCCTCCAAAATTTTTAACCAATGAGGGGAGGAGCTCATTTTCCCTCCCCTCCCCTCCCCTCCCCTCCAACCAAACAAACCTTTAGTTTTAGGATATTATATGTAAATAAAAAAATAAAGTTTAAGGAGATATAAAAATGATGTCTTAATTTTATCTGCATAGGCTTGAAAATATAGCGTGCTTACTAGTAAATTTTAAAGACGGAGAAGATCACTTGTACAAATTTGAAGTCTAGAAAATTTTTATATGATTTTCTCTTATTTTCAAGATGATCACATAGGTTGCAAATATATCGTAGAGAATGAGTCATTCAAAAAAGTGATTTGATATCTCCTCTCCATAGCTCAGTCGATTATTTATAATTAAACTTTAAGCTTATTTTTCTAATACTTTCAGGATAATAATTAATTAAAAGGGAAAGGATTGTCATAGATACATGAAATCATAAGTGACATAAAGTCCAACGTGAATCAATGTTCGTTTGGCTGTTATTGGGGTAGGATAACATTACTTTTCTTTAATATTTCTGAAGCAAGATTTATTTTTTTAAAAAAAAACTTTTCAGTATCCATAACTTTTCCGCAAAAACTTTTAGAGGAAAAACAATCCATATTCTCTCTCGCGAAATGACAATGAAAATGGAATATAGTTCATCACTTTTTGACCGTAGGAAAGTTAGAAAGGCCTGCGATTTGCTTTATGATATGTGCGCATATGGATGTAATGAAGAGAGGCATGGGATAGGGAAATGCGTGTGATTTGGTATGGGTAAGGGTGTTCAACTTGTCCTGTCCTGGTTCCAGTCAATTCGGGAACTGAGATAGGATGCGGGACGGTTGTCTCGTCCCAGAATATTTTTTTAAAAATTTATTTACTAATCATTATTATTAGATTATTCAATTCACTTATTAATAATAATTATTTTTTGTAGAGATTTTCAACTCTTATGTTATAGTGTTATCTTAAAAAAATCTTTTTTCTCAATAAAATAATTCGTAAAGCCATTATACAGTGTTTTTTTTACAGTATTTTTTTTTTTACAACATTGTTCTTACATGACATAATTGAACTTTCTATATAATATTTTTTATAATGTTTTTATCTTTAGAAACCCAATAAAAAAGAAACATTACAACATAAAAAAATTATTACCCAAAATTATAATTTTTTTAAAAAAAAAGAAAAGAAAACAGGACGTCTTGTCCTAGTCTCATCGTCTTGAGATGGAACGAGACACGAGACGAAAATCTCATCTCATCCTTGTTCACCAGAACGGATCCTATGAACAGCCCTAATCATGACAATAAATTAAAAAAATAAATTTGCAACTTGCAAGATAAGGACGAATGAGTGAAGGTGCCAAGGAAAATTACAGGAAGGAAAGCGACAATTGCTTATTTAAGGATAAAGGTTAATTAATTAGATAAGTAAGCAAAGTCCTCGGTAACAAAATAAATGAGAGGTGAAGGGAAGGTCAGTAAAAATAGAAGGAAAAGCTCACCAAAAGTTGGTCGAATCTCGCTGCTGACTGGTTGGCTAAGGAAGGTCTTTTTATGGAGCCTGGGTTCCACTTCGTCGTTCAAGCTCGCCCTGACTTGGAGCGACTGTTGGTTGAGGAGGGGGACAGTTGAGTGGGATTCCTGGTTGTTATCTAAAAAGAGTTTAGACACCTCTCTTATAGCTGTAAGCCCGGATCAGTATATTAGTTTCCCTTTTTTATGTATTATCTGATCATCTCTTATTTGATTTGTTTTCCTTTTGGGCTAATGATATGATTTGGTTGTTGTAGGTCGATCATGATATCACTAAGTCATCAAATTATACTGCATAAGTTGGCTCCAACATTTATGGCAACAGACCAAGAAGCATCTTCCTCAAGTTCTTCTAATTCCAATTTAACTCGAAGAACCTGTAGATATGATGTCTTTCTTAGTTTTCGAGGTGAAGACACTCGTGTAAACTTCACAGAATACTTGTGTCGTTTGTTAGTTAGGAGTGGACTCAGAGTTTTTAAAGATGACACAGGACTTAGAAGAGGAGAAATTATCTCACAAGAACTGCTGCAAGCAATTGATGAATCTCGTTCAGCAATTGTTATTCTCTCCAAAAGTTATGCCTCTTCTTCATGGTGTTTAGATGAGCTTGAACATATTCCTGCCTCGAGAAATAAACTAGGTCAAATAGTTTTCCCCATCTTTTATTATGTTGATCCATCTGATGTAAGACATCAGAGAGGAAACTTTGGTCAAGCTTTCACCAGACTTGAAGACAAGTTTCAGCGAGACCAATCCAAGGTGCAAACATGGAGGGATTCTCTAACAGAAGTGGCTCATTTAGCTGGTCTTGCTTCCGGTCAATATGGGTAAGTTTTGTCTTTTTTGTTGAATAACTTGTATATAATATTTGTATCAATTCATTGAACACTGCATAATTGCATCCAAGATAAAAATTTAATAATTACTTCATACTATCAAACAAATAAATCTTTTTATTATCTATCTGTTTTTTCAAGAAATGATTCATGCCATATTTTCAAAAGAAAAAGTTCATTTCATGGTTATAAATTGAAAATATTTATTATAAAAAACTTTAAAGACAAAAGCCTAACATGTAGCTAGTAATCTTGTTGGAAGCCATGAGTTTTAAGTACTAGTATTCTGTTCGACACGTTCCGTTTGCATTGGACTCCAATTTTTTTCTCATTTTCTTCTGTTATTTTTTGCTTCATTATTTTCTTATTAATTTGAGGGAAAATTAATTTGGAGGCACTTATAATTTTTCTCAGTTTTAAATTGGATCCCTAATCTTTTTCCCCCCTTTTATAATGGCCTTTAACTTTGTATTGTTAAGTAAGTTAGTCGTTCTGTTAAATAAGATCAACCACCATTAAAATTTTCTATTAGCATGTTAAAAGGCATTCCAAAACAAGCACTTTCTACGCCACTAAATGCTTAGGTAAAAGATGTTCGAGGCGGAGAAAGTGCTTGTTTCAGAACACCCTACAGTACTTTTAACAGAAAATTTTAATGGTGGCTGATCTTATTTAACAAAATGATTAACTTACTTAATAGTACAAAGTTAATCGGCTTCATAGAAAGGGGGCAAAAAAAATATCAGGGATCTAGTTCAAAACTGAGAAAAATTATAAAGACTTCCAAATTAACTTTTTCTTAATTTAATTACGTAGGAGTTCTGGTTTCTCAATCTCCAGCAAACTGCAAATTTTGTTGTCAGTTAAAATATTTATTGTAATTACACACGTTAGTGAAAGTTTTATCCTTGCAATTAAAATTTGTGGCTCTAAAGTTTTTCTCCAGACTAAAATTTTTATATCTGCAACTAAGATCAATGTAATAAAAAAATTTATAACCTGCTGCACCATTCATAAGTGATGGATATTGAAATTTATATCATACTCCTTTGGTCTTATTTATAAGTAGTTTTTAACGTATTTTATGTAGATCAAGAAAAATTTTAAACTTTATTAACTCTCATTTAAAATTTAACAACTTTCTAACTTTATTGCTATTTAATATACATTATACCTCATGAAAATAAAGTGAACACCATGATAAATGAAAGGCAAAATTGTATATTCATATAAAAAAAATTTCTCTCTACCCTATAAATAAGACTAGAAGAGTATGTGTCAAAATGTATTATTTTTTGTCATCCCTACACAATAAAATCAATCATATAATATGATCATGTGAGGGAAAAATTGTTTTTGTAGGTGCGAAGCAGAACTTGTTGATAATGTGGTTGAACATTTACGGGACCGACTTCGTTCTGATCTGCCACCTGTCAGTGAAGTGACTCACTAATTGGAATTGAGCGGAGAGCAGAAAAAATGCTTAAACGCTTAGGGATAGGACTGGAAGATGTCCGGTCTATAGGAATATGGGAAATGGGTGGTGTGGGCAAGATGACTCTTGCTAGCGCCATCTATGAGAGGTTCCATCGCCAATTTGACTTCCATTGCTTTCTTGCCAATGTTAGGGAGCCTTCTGAAAGAAAAAATGGCCTAGTTCGTTACAGAACAAACTGCTTTCACATCTCAAGATAAAAAACTTCCAAATTGAAGACATGGACGAAGGAAAGAATACATTAGGATACCTGTTGCGCAATAGGAAGGTTATGCTTATCCTTGACGATGTAAATCATAAAAGCCAACTAGAGAATTTAGCTGGAAGACGGGTGTGGTTTGGTGATGGGAGCAGAATAATCATAACAACTAGAGATGTTCAGTTACTGACATCTCACGAAGTAGATGAAATATATGAGGTTCAACCAATGGACAATGATGAATCTTTTCAACTCTTTTGTCAAAAAGCATTTAGAGGAAGAGGCATCCCTAATGAACAACAATTCGAGGGGTTGGCTCTATCAGCAATTCATTATCCAAGAGGTCTTCCTTTGGCTCTCTGTGTTTTGGGTTCCTTCTTTTGTGGGAAAGACAGCTTAACAGAGTGGGGTTATGCTTTGCAAGTGTTGAGACAAGATTCGAATGATGACATTTTTAAGAAACTTAGAATAAGCTACTATGAACTGAATTATATAGAAAAGGTAATATTTTTAGATATTGCCTGTTCTGTAATATGTGGGGCAAGGATGAAATAATTCAAATATTGGAAAGTTGTGGATTTCCCATAAGGACTACTTTGCAGACCCTTAAGGGAAAATCTTTGCTTGCTGAAATTGAGATTGGCAATACTACCTATATAGAGATGCGTGATCTGGTTCAAGATATTGGTAGGCTTATTGTTAATGAAGAATTTCCTGTTGATGTTGGAAGAAGCAACAGATTGTGGATTCCTTTTGACATTGACCGACTACTAGAAAGAGACATGCTAAGAAATTAATTTTCTACGAATACTAATCTTGTTTTTCTGTGAATGCCAGTTTTATATTTCTTATTTGCGCACATTTTCTTATGAGATCTTGGTGTCTATAATGTTTGTAATTAGGGAACCAACGCAACAGAAGGTGTGGTTTTGCACCATAGCTTCGAGAAAGATGAAGTATTTTGGAATCTTGAAGCTTTTTTAAAAATGTGTTGGCTTAGATTACTTATCATATCATGCAATCTTGACCTTTCCCAACACCTCAAAGGTCTTCCAGGGACATTGAAGCTCTTCATTGGTATGGATATCCTATTGAAGCTCTTCGTTCTTATGAGCAAATGGATCAACTCGTATATCTCAAAAATGCACTATAGCAAAATAAAGCATCTTTCTAATGATAATAGACAGGTTAGATACTTTATATGTATTCTCAATGATGAAGCTAAAGTTTTTGGTGACTGATTTCTCCAATATCTTTTATTTGTCTAGTCTATGAAGAAACTGAAGATTCTGGACTTAAGCCACTCCATAGAGCTCCTTCAAACTCCAGATTTTGTTGGATTTCAAAATTTAAAAAGATTAGTTCTTGAAGGCTGCACATCACTTGTTGAAATTCATTCTTTGCTTGGGCAGCTTCATTATCTTGTTGAAATAAATTTGAAAGGTTGCTTGAATCTTAAAGTCCTTCCAAAAAAATTGGAAATGAATTCCTTGGAAAAATTTGTTCTTTGTGGATGCATTAAAGTAAGAAATCTTCCGGAATTTGGAGAAAACATGGAAAATCTCACAACACTTGATGTCAAAGAGACAAGTAGAGCCAAACTTCCGGAGTCACTTGGATCCCTAACTAGTCTCGAAACTTTGGATTTAACGGATTGCCAAAATCTTGTTGGCCTTCCCCATGACATTCCAAAATTGAAGTGTCTGAAAGTTCTTGATATCTTAGGACGCTCAAAGTTTTCTGAATTACCAGAAAACCTTAATGAAAATGAAGCCTTGGAAAAGCTTGATATGAGTGGAACAGCTATCGAAGAATTACCTCGTTCTATTTGTCATTTGAAAAAATTAAAGATACTGGTATTTCATGGATGCAAAGAGCCAACTTTCAACTCAAGCATCTTGTCACTTCCGTGGAACCAAATGTTTAAGAGGCATTCATTTCCTAAGGGCTTAACATTGCCCGTTTCCATCTTCAATATTGAATCACTGACAGAATTAGATTTGAGCTACTGCAATATTGTTGATGGAATCATTCCTAATGACCTCAGTGGCTTATCATCATTGCGGAAATTAGATTCGAGTGGAAACCAGTTTGTGAATCTACCTAATGGCTGCATTTCTAATCTTATGAATCTACAGTCTCTTTATTTAAATTCCTGCCCAAAGCTTGAACTTTTGCCACAGCCTTCGCCAGGTTTAAATCTAATGGATGCAGGAGAATGTGGTTAGTTGAGAACTTTGTCAGACAAGAAATTGTTGCGTCTCTTTGATTCAATGGAATGGGTATGTAATTTGTCTTTATCATCCTCAAATCCATTCATATCTTTTGTTGCTAACTATGTGCAATTTGTCACATGATAAATTTCTTGGTTTCAGGATGGCCAACATGCTCAAGGATTGAGAAGAATTGCAACTTTTTCAGTGACTATTCCAGGGAGTGAAATACCATCACGGTTTAAGAATTAGAATCATTCCTCCTCTAAATGAGAAACATGTAACTTCTATGGCCATAGACATCCCTGAAGGTGAATGGTTGGGAATTGGGTTATGCACTGTAATTGATCATAAGATTTGCTTGCCTCGCTAGGGGTTTGATTACGAAGATTCCGATGGTAAGTATATATCCCTCCCAGCAAGGACATATGAAAATGAGAAAGAAATAAAATCTTCTCACCTGTGGATCATGTTTTGGAAAATTAATGAGGAAAACAGAGACGAAATATCAAGGAATTTTTACAGTCAGATTTGCTTGAAATTTTGTCCTGATTGGGGTTAGCCTCTATCAAAACTGGTTGATGCAGAGCCAATTAAGTGTGGATGGCGTTTCATTCGCAAAGAGGATCTAGAACGACTCAATGATGGTGTAAGTTGCCTTCTCTCTACAGCCACTTCCATAATATTTTCTACTGGTATCGTTATTACTCTTAAGTTTTAGTAGTTGAGAGAAATTAATGAAAAACCACGAAATTAAATCTCTTTCAAGTTTGAATGAATTGATATTTGATCACTTTGCAAGATATACTCATCATAACCGTCATGTTTTAAACGAAAACACAATTAACTCTGAAGCTGAAGAATGCATGCAATATGGTTTGTTACAGGGTGAAACCTCCCAAGCTATAATCGGAGAATGCGAAACCATGCCTTCTGAAACTTCATCTTTATGCTTAGAAGATGAATTCAAATCAGATGATTCATGGATGCAGTTCATTCCAGATGATGCAAAGTACGTGGTATTGTAATATATATGACAACATCCTTTATCTCTTAATAAATTTTCAAAGTTTGAGATCCAAAACTGCAGTCTTCTAGCTAAAATTTCTCGGTTAAATTATCAATGATAATTATTAATTCCTGTTGTCTGATGCCTATTCCTAAAACCTACCAAGTCCTCATTTCCCCAGAAGCAATCGAGAACTTTTAGGCATGATCAACAAAATTGTTTTGTCCTAAAGCGAATGGCACAAATAATACAATTGGCAGAATATAAAAAGAAGTATGAGACAATACATTGGTTTTGAAATTGAGTTTAGATGAGCTCCCTTGAGTTTACTGGATAAGATCTAACAGAGGAAGGCTAGAAATACAATAACTAATGTCATTAGATGTAAGCACTCATCTTGGTTCTTCACGTTTTATCAGTTCTCACTCAACTTATAACTAGAGATTAGATTCACTTACATTATTGCATTTGAATGATTGCTGCTACTGATGCATTGAAACCAATTTCAGGTTTTGGTTTTAGACAGAGAAAGACAGACACCAATGAGCTTACTAGTCCTGAATCGAATGACGTATATGCTGTTGCCTCTACGAGGTTTCTCAACATGTTGACGCTCATCCGCTGTCCATAGATAACTTCTCTTTTCCTTCGACTGGTATAATTTGGCTGGGCATTTTATCCTTTTCACAGTCTTTCTCTAATTTCTATATTAATGTTGTTTCTTTACCTTCCTTTGTTCATTTTCTCCAGCATTTTATCTGCTCTCTATCATATTGTAACTTATAAACCTTCTTAATACTCCTTCGGTCGTTAATACAAGACCTAATTATTGAGTTAATTTTAGTCCTAAATATAAGACCTATTTCTCATATTTATTAATTTTTCCTAAATTACTCCTATGTGTACTCCCTCAAGCATAATCAAGTAGAAGAGGAAGAGGGGATATTAAGAAAAATAATTATGGTATTTTAGAAAAAATATATCATATTTCTTATAATTAACTAACATAGCTAATTTTCTCAATCTAATTAAATTAGTTAACTAAGTCTTATATTAAGGATCGGATGAGTCTCATTTTGTCTTTTAGATTTCAATAAATCTTGTTGATGTTGAAAAATATTATGACACATTTACAATTTTTCTTAAGAATAATTACTGTAATTGATTTTTCATACCATATAAAAATTGATTTTAATTTAATATGGAAGAATAAATACATTAAAGACGAACAAGAAGTGGTCGCCCCGTACGTATTTCAATGGTTGGATGTTTTCTTCTGTGTATTACATTTATTTGGGGCATGATTTTTTTTTCGGAATTCAGAGTTTATAACCGCAAATTAGTCATAAAAATTTGGCAAAAAAAAAAATTAGTCATAAAAATTTGCCTATCTTTAATTTTGAGAATCCCAGATAAATTTAATTAGGAGGGGAGTCTGAATTATCTATTTTTCTTAATTTAAGGGTACATATTAAATTTCTTTGTGGAAAAAAAACTAAAGAAGAGGAAAAGGAAAGAATCTGTACCATTCATTTTCTCTCTAATTTTTCAAACAAATTATTTTTCCAACACGGCCTAATAATTTTGTCAATCTTTAAGGTCATTCAACGAATCTATTGGAATGGAAAAGAATTTAAAAGAAAAGGATGAAATTTTTTTAACTAAGTGAGTGTTTAGTTCATACTAGAATTGAAAATGGTTTTAATAGAAATGACCATATTATTTTTTAAAAAAACCATCAAGCACACTAATTGACCGACTAGTCGTCAGAGACAGGTGAGTATGCTTGATGGTTTTTTTAAAAAAATAAAAAAATATTATAATTATTTCAGTAAATTTTAAAATTTTAATTTGATCAATTATATCTAAATTAGAATTTTATTTATCAGGATGACGGTTTGGAAATTTTTAAATTCAATAATATTTTTCTGCAATTTTCCCAATAAATGAGCCTTTAGTATATCAAGAGAAGAATTGGAAAGTTTACAGTCTTTACATCATGTCAGGTTGACTTGACCGAAATCGTGTGAGAAGAATGGGGCTCATGCCAAATAGTAACGCGCATTTCCCCATCCCATGCCTCTCCTCATTACACGAACAAGTTTCACTGCTTATAGTTTTGATAAGCATTTATATCTTATTTAGGTAGTTCATATTTAAAATTTTAAATAATTATTTTTAAATAAAAAAATTAATTTTTTAGCGAATGATAGTTAAAAATTATCTCAATTTTAGATTCTATATAGATTAAAATAATTATTTTAAACAAATAAAAAAATCAAATCTTAACTATCCAGATGAGATAAGACAATCCACACCTAATCAGAATATGAGATGACCAAAACAGAGAAAAAAGGTGTAGATGTACTCCTCTGGTCCTATTTATAGGAAATAGAGAGAAAAGATATTTTTTGATCCTATTTATAGGGTATTGAAAAAAAATTTTTGTATGAATGTACAATTTTACCCTTTATTTATTATGTTGACTTTACTTACATAAGGTATAATGTATATTAAATAGGATAAAATTGTAAAGTTATTAACTTTTAAATGAGAGTTAATAAAATTTAAGATT